AACTTTTAGTTGCTACGTGATCAAAATCTACCAAAAAGCCCTTCGGGCTTCACAGGATTTGATCACGTGACCTACTAAAAATTCATTTCCCAGAGAACATTTTAACGTTGTTTATTTCCTAAATATTGTGAAATATTGTGAAAATAAATGAAAGCTTAAAATTCTTCATGTCAAGGAAAAAGCATTTTGTTTCAACTTTCGGTTTAAATATCAATATTGACGTAGTACACTTAAGAAATCACTACTGTGTAGAAACGGACTAGGGTAAATTGCGTTACCCTAGTTTAAGATGGCGACAGGCTTATACGCTTCAAATTTACGGGAATAAATATCAAAGAATTCTAATGAAAAATCTTACTTTGTTTGGTGCCAATTTGTTTAGCACCATCAGTTCTGCTTGCTCAGAAGGAGACTATACATTAAACTCTGCATAATTAACCAGAAAACACGTCACGAAGTTTTGCCGTGGATTAGGGTAAAGTCTATGAACTGTTTCTTTACGATTAGGGTAAAGTTTTTCGTGAGTAGGGTAAAGTTTTTATGCGCCCGGATCGATAGACTTTTGCCACAACTTTCGAACCACAGGAGATAGAGACTTCATATTTGATGTGCTTACTTCACTAATAAAGCTCATACAAATGACATCAAAATCATTGACCTTGTGACCTTGACTGTGACCTTAATGCTAAAAATAGCTTTTTTCAAACTTTTGTCATAATTTTTTAACTATAGAAGATATAGACGTCATATTTGATATGCATACTCCACTAATACAGTTCTTTCAAATAACATTAAGATCAATGACCTTGTGACCTTCACTGTGACCTATATGCTAAAAATAGTTTTTTTGTAACTTTGTTGCCGCCGGACGCATAGTGTTTCACAAACACATCTTGTTTATTCTACAAACTTACTGTACACAGAACAACTGCTTTATACAATTAATAAAGTTGAAAAAGGCCTTCATGAAAATATTCAAAAACTTCTGCTTCCACAAAGAAAACATTTTGTTTCAGTTTGCATGTATACACAATACTTTCAAATTTTGAACAGTATACATGTATTTTCCGTTTCATAATTATAGAGTGTACAAACAAGTAACTATACAGTAATATTCTTCAGGAACGTAGCTAGGCGTACACAAATTCTTAAGTTCAACGTTGGAATGAAAATAATATTGTTACTTAATGAAACATCATTCAAATATTTTAGAATATAGAATTGAGTGTCACATTACTTTTTAAGGTACTATTTTTTACCCTGCATTGAAAGCATGAAAGCAAAATTTATCTTTTAACGTATCTCTTTATACAAAAAAGTAGAATAAAAGTACAGGTATATAAATTATATAAAAAAAACATTTTTAGACACAAAACGTACTATAATGGGCATATATCTGTATCGATATCGACAAATGAAATAATTCGAGGTTTTTTTTTTTTTGTTTTTTTTTGTTTTGTTTTTTTTTTGTTGTTGTTGTTGTTTAAATTTGTTTTATTTGACAAATTTAATGACATTAAGTCGTCGAAGTCAATACCTCGGCTTTTTTATTCGGATACATCTTAATTTATTTAAAAATTTAATGCTACTGTTTTTTTTATGTTCTATTTTCACTACTTTTATGCAACTTTAAAGGTAAGATGTTAATGTTTTCTCAAATTTTCGGTTTAATATCTTGACATATATGCAACATCAAACTATGGGGGTTTCTTGCAGACCATCGGACTTTGGCATCATCATCTGACTTTGGAGCCTTACTTATGTTTCAATAGCATTTCACACGGAAATATAATTTTTTTTTTTTAAAACTTACTTTATAAATCTGGAAATTATTGAAACTAGGAATTTCGGGACGTGGTTTAATTGATACACCCTTGAACGCTCATAAAGCAAATTTTATCCTTAATATCCAGAAGTGAAAAAAAATTGTTGTGTATAAAAAAAATATATATTCAAACTATAATTTAAAAAAAAACTAGTAGAGTTGTCAGAAAGCAAGACCAACTCACCAGTACTCAATTGCCAGCCCGTGTTCAATGATGTGTGCAGAGTTAAACATATCCGGTGAAACATTACATCAACAAAACAGAGTTCGTGACCTGTTTACAAAGACAGGTTACGTTTCACAGGTGTGTTCAACTTGATAAAGAGACACCTTTAAGGAAATACTTGATTTTCGAAGAAATGCTTTGCCCGTTACCTCAGTAGATACAGCAATGTTAATTTTTCGCATCGTTTTTTGATCTTAGACCCAGTGTAAGAATACTGCAAAAACTCCACTCCTGGTCATTATGCACACGTCAATGCAAAAAAAGAAAAAAATAAAAAAAAAATAATGAAAATAAAATCGTTCTCTCCCCCTTTTCTTTATACAGGTACTTTAATTGATCTGTTGATGTTTGATTTTTTTTACCGCATATAAATCAAAAGAGCGATGTTTTCCCTACTCATTTTGTTTTATTGTGTCCAAAATATAGAATGAATAGGATCATAAACTAACTGCAAAAAGTGATACTTCGCCATTTCAATCGGTTCATTTTAAAATGAGAATTTTTCATGGTGTTTTTGCAATGATTTATGAAAAGGCTGAGAGTATGTGTAGAGTTTGCTCAATGAAAAAGGTGAAGATAACGAACTTTGATCTATTACTGAAAACTACAAACAATATAAATCTGTGGACAGAGTATAAAACACAGACCCCTGAGAGTTCCAGAAGTAGGATCCGGTGCCTAGAAGGAGTAAATATCACTTGAAATAGGATGTTTAGGTCATGTAACAAGGAAAATGACATTTTACACTCTTACTTTACCCTAGTCACCAAAAGAGCTAAGAATTTCTTTACCCTAGTCAAAAATTTACTTTACCCTAATCATGCTCAAATTTTGTACCAATTTTTCGCAATAATTGTGTTCTTCTGTGTGAAATAGTTTAATTTTAACAACAAAATTTATAATGTAGGCCTGTATAATGCTAAAACTAAGTGCAAAATGATCGAAGCGTATTTGCCTGTCGCAATCTTGGACTAGGGTAACGCACTTTACCCTAGTCCGTTTCTGCACAGTGAGTATAGTATGCCAGGGCATCAACGATAGTGGGAAACAGTGGATAATTTGCATAACGGGCGAAAGGCGAAGCCCGATATGCATAAATTATCCCGTGTTCCAACTATCGTTGATGTCCCTGGCATACGGTACTAAATAGACAGTGATTCCTTATATTTCCATTTCATTGTGAAATACAATTGTAGATTTAGACTAGCTTTTAAAATGTAGACTACTAGATTGAAATTACACGAGGACTCCCATGCCAATTTCAATAGTCCTCGCCCACTGACGTCAAACAAAATGGCAGCTGCACGAGATTTACATGCATATTTAGCCTCCTTAGCGTCAGACACAGAGACAAATGCGTACGAAAATTGCATGTAGATTAGGCTTTCTTAGCTCCTGACCTATCGACCTGCCTAATTTACATTCCGGTAGAATTATCAAGAAATCAATCTCGGTAGCTTTCAAAGAGATATCACAGACAAAAAAAATTAGAAATGGAAATACAAACATATAATTTTACTAGTGGGTAAATATTGAAAAGTATAAAGCTTTAAAGAAATGTTCAATTTCCATGAGGAAAAAAAGGATTTGTTTGAGAGGGGAACATTCATTTTATGTCACTTGGTTTCTTTGGTATCGTACTTTTTAGTTCTCCGGGTGAATACCTAAGAGAGCTTCTCTGATCACACGTTGACCGGCGTCTGTCCTTCTAGCTGTTCGTCCGTCTGAAAACTTCTCATATTTGGGACTTGGCACAAAGTATCCTGGGTGAAGGGAGGAGGAACTAAAGAGATTAATTCATATATTTACAGAGAGAGATATATATTCAAAAAAGCTAAAATAAAGGGGGGTCATTAATGACTCTTATTCTTAATCTATGAGAACCAATTGACCAGAAAAAATGAAAATTATAAGTGTAGATGAAATGTTGAAATCATGACCCCCAGGAGTTAGGTGGGACCACAGTAATAAAACAAAGGTTTACACTGAGATTTTTTTTAACCTTACAAACATATGGCAAAATATTGCTCCAAAGATGATGTCAAAGAAATATGGAAGTATCCTCAGTTGGTGTACAAATAATGCTCACCTTTCTCCTGGGGATGTATTTGCGACCACTTATTTATTTTAGTTCGGGTGAGCAATATGGCCCATGGGCCTTTTTGTTTTATACCAAATTGATTACGGAATGTTCCGTCCACTCGATCAAAAATGTTCGACAGGAAATGCTTACTTCTCTTGGGCACCTTTATCACCTCTGGAGTTTTCGGTGGTCCATGTCTTATGCTTTGTTTACAGTATTGTACTGTTTGTATATTTTAAGATCGATCAATGTTTATTTATATTTTTACCTGTTCATTTATTTAACACAGACTCAAATAAGAAAATTGAAATTTATGTCTCAAAAACCATTACCACCAATTTAAAGTTTGTATAGAATAGTTTCGCCTAGGTAAACATTGTGTTTATCCATTGTTGAGAACATTTAAATTAAATGTGTTACTTTAACCTTAAATAAAATTTCTTTACATGAAATACTAGTACATCAGAATTGTTTTGAAAAGTTTATGATTTTTTTAGTGGGTCCAAGCTATTTTGTCTAGTATACAAACAATCGCATCATCTCGGGTCTTTCCGTCAGAGGTCGGAAAAACCTCGAATGTATTAACATCACTGGATGTTAAAAATATATATACATCTTCCTGTTTATTCAAATATAGAATAGACGGAGATAGAAGATCCTTCTATGGTATATTTTAGGTAATATCATTATATTGAATAAAGTTGAATCCATAATCCACAGATGAAAGGTCTCCATGCATTTATTTCAAAGATCGTGAAAAAGGGGAGTTGTGATGGCGTCATTCGAGGTCGTTTTTCCGCTAGTCGGAAAGACCCGAGAAGTTGCGATTGGTATACAAAATGCAATTCAGAATTTCTTTCTTGCAGATTTTTTGACAGGCCGATCCCGACATGAAGACAGTCAGTGAGTACCTGGAGAACGTTCTAGAGGAGACGGGTGGATTTGGGAAGTTCCAGTTCCTTCTTCATGGCAGCATCCTCTTCAGCAAAGTGTCCATTACTTGGAGTCTCCTCATCATGGCGTTCGCTGGGGCTGCTCCTGATTGGTGGTGTGTCTACTCCAACACAACCGATGTCCATTCTACCGTGAACTACAGCAGCATATCGAACACGACCATGACGTCACCGGCCCATGACGTGTTTCAAGCGTCTAAAACATGTTCACCGCCATCAAATACCTCAGTTTGTCAGGCTTTTGTCTTTGATGACAGCATGAAGACAATCATTAACGAGGTTATTATATATATTTGCGTGTTATTTTTCATATTTTTGAAACACAGATACTCAAGACGTTCTAAACATCAATAAAAATATCAAGATACTATAATGATGAAAAGGTACGAAACTGTCGCCATCTTGGGTCTTTCAGGTCAAGTACATCAACCGACAACGTGAATTTTTGGAGTAAAATATATTTATAAAATCCATGCATACAAGAATTTTTCTATCTGTGATATTTTTATCGGTGAAGAAAAAGTCGTCAAGTGCCTGTGTTTCGTATTAGGCCTATGACGTGATTGCTAATGTAGATTGTAGAAGCCCATCATTGCTTAAGTTGCTGCTCGCTAAAAAACTAATCGGATTACTAAATAAATATTCCTTATATTTACATGATAAATGTCATATAGTTAAATCCAAGCAATTCTAAATATTTCCTAATCTAATGATTAAATGGTTGTTGACGTCATGGAATATCGTCATGAAGAAAAGTTAGCTTTTATTGTATACACTGTAAACTATATACCCCGAAACTTCGAATTCGGGGTATAAATATTAGTGTTTTTGCAGACATATGAAATTTTTCTTTTTTTCAATGTCAAACCATTTTGATTTTTTTTCAGTGGGGATTGATCTGCGACAAAAAATGGGTGACAGCAACTGTTTCTTCGATACAAATGGCGGGTCTTCTCATTTCCGGTTTTCTAGGTGGACAGCTGGCGGATTTGCTGGGGAGGAAACCAACATTTTTCGTGTCGCTTTTCATTTTATCCGCCTCAAATATTGTGGCTGGATTTTCCCAGTCCTGGTTGATGTTTGCTGTGATCCGTTTTATTATCGGACTGGGATGTGGGGCGTATCTCACCGTATTCTACACATTCTCTGTGGAGTTCACACCAACTAAATTCCGTCCCATTCAATTGGCCGTTCCTGATTGGTCAATCTGGGCCGCCTTGTTGGGACTTTGCTCCTATCTGTTGAAGGATTGGAGGAGTCTTCATATTTTGACTGGAGTTTTAACAGGAATTAGTCTCCTTTCTTGGTGGTATGTCTTTTTTTTTACAGAAATTGAATGGTCAAATATTTATTTTTTGAAAAAATCAAAACTTTAGATGATGGCGTCACATATATTTAATAGGATTGTTCCTGAGAGTTTCCGATGGTTAGTATCACATGACAAATTGAATGAAGCTGACAGAGTCATCAAGAAAATTGCTCGCTTAAACAATCATCCCAAACCCGACCTAAATAAACTCCAAAATGTTGTAGAATCGGATGCTACGTTTCAAGGAGACAGGAAATATACATTTCTAGAGCTATTTCGGAATCGAACACTACTGATCAACACTGCTTTAGCTGGTGTTGCCTGGTAATTTTGTTTCTCGTACCTACGTTAAATTTTAAAAAAAAAAATTCTACCCTTATGTCTTTGAAAAATATGGACTCAAAGTTATTTAGCAACGTAATGAGCCAGTTTAGCAATAAAAAGCAGTGTAATGGGTTTAACTATCCGTTGCCATCCTTTCATGACTTTTATAGCATCAAAGTTAAGAAAACCACTGAATAAATGTTCAGGAAATTTACAACTTTGACAAGTTCTGTCAATTGTTAACAGGTGATAGTCATGAATTCAATAATTATTGTATAACCTGACAGGTTCTCCTGTGGTTATGCCTACTATGCCATTTCCTACAGCGTGGACCAACTCTCAGGAAATCTCTACCTCAACATGTTTCTTCTTAGTGTCATCGACATTCCCGCTCTTATGAGCATTTGGTACCTTAGTAACCGGTACGTATAATTAGTAACCGATAAATAAATACATATGTAACCGGTTCGTATTCAGTAACAGATAAGTACCCCAGTAACCGGTTCGTGTTTAGTAACCGATATAGGTACCTCAGTAACCGGTACGTTTTCAGTAATTGATAAGTATCTTGAATATTCTTGCTATTTGTGTTTACCTTCGCAAACAATATTAAACAACAAGTATTCTGGAAGTAGTCATTAAGTATATTAAATACTTTTAAGTACCTCTATGAGTTTTATCACATGACACATAGCAGTAAAATACCATACATTTTCCCTGTTCCAGTATTTTGAGTTCTTGCTTTTTAAAGGTGTCTTTAAATACATGTATGTCGTAAAATGTGTGCAAATTGAATCTTTTGAGTCGGATATAATAGCAGCTGCCAAATTTTCTTAAAATCAAAGCATAGTTAAGGTTATGATGTATATTGCAGTTACGAACTTGAAATCATACTCGTTTTAAAACCTGCACTAATCTTGATTCAAAACGTACACGAAGGCCACGTTTTATCAGATTGAAATTTTATTTAATTCTGATGAAATTTTGTCAAATTTGAGACACTTTTTATATCTGGAAACTCGGAACAGGTTCTCAATATGTAAAAAATGAGGAATTCTGAAACTGACATTTTATGTGACTTTTTGTGACTTCTTTGTGTTGTAAAAATCAATAAAAATACTTACTTTGAATCAGTATGACAACTGATTTTAAATGAACTGTTTTATCTTTATGAATGATAACCGAACACAGGGACCAAAACTTGGCCTTAGCCTACCAAGTCCTTTAAAACTTTTTTCAAAAGTGATCACTGATAAATTGATCCGAGTATTTTTTTTTTAAAACTTGGTATAAACTTCACTATTTTATTCTTAATTCTATGAACGTTTATATGTCGTTGCTACTTAACAGTATCGGTCGTAGATGGACCTGTCTTGGATACTTTGTGCTTGGCTCCCTCGCTTGTCTGGGCGTGGCCGTATCTCAAATGATAGGTAAGTCAGCCATTATAGAAAATTCTCCTTGCGGGGCTAAATTGAACATTTCTGGCGAAGAAAGGCCGAAATCCGCCGTGCGTGTATTGATGAGATTTTTCTGGGTAGGATTGGTTCACAATCGTAATATAAAGGGGAAAATCTTTAAATAACCTTTTGTGAATAGAAATAGACATGTTTTCTTTTTTCTTGAAAGCACAGACTTAAGTTTCGAGACGCCAGTAAGAGGTTTCATTTATCTACGTGTACAAATTCAATAGTCAGGAAGAAAACGCTGACTCAGGTAAGCCTGGTGTCCCACGGGCCTCTTGTTTAACTCGGGGTGGTTTTGTTAAAACAAGAACAAATAAGATACCCCGGTAAGTATGAAAAATCAACTTACCTTGATTTATTCAACTAAGTTCCGACAACCATTATCATCAGAGTCATTTCATCTCACAGCTAGACCAAAATGTGATTCTAAGTTGTCCTTGGGATCGTTAAGCACTCAGTTGCATACTCACAACGTTAGCGTCCCTCTCAAGATTTTTTCCCTCATTTAGAGACGCCACCATGTACCGGTGGAGATCGAGCTGCAAATTTTTTACCTTTACTCGGCACTTATGGCCAATGAGCAGTGAGGGATCTTTATCGTGCCAGGCAGCACCTTCTGCGACACGGGACCTCGGTTTATACTGTCTCATCCGAGGGACCGGTCTCCACTTCCCACAGTGGGAAACCACGGTTCTATATCTTCTCCAACGAGAAAATAACACCTAGTAATAACACATAGATCTATCTTAAACTTGTAGTGTATAAATTGTGAAATGTACGTGATACTGAAATCAAAATATCGAGTCTTTCTTCTCAATTTAATACATGCGTGGTGCTCGGTGACTTTACTCTTTTGCCACTGTAACAGCTAGGCCTAATAATAATAATAATAATAATAATAACAGCATAATACAAAGTGTTGTTTTTCTCCTAGATGTGGACAAAGAACTGCAGAAAAGTCTGATAAACGGATTTGCTCTGGCGGCCAAGCTTGGAGTCTCTGCATCCTGGGCCGCCATAATGGCCTTCACGACGGAAGTTTATCCCACTGTCGTCAGGTAAGAAAATTCTGGTCCGGAAGTTTAATTATCTCATTGTTTCAGTTAATAACCTTTAGGTCCTATTGAAAGTTTATCCAAACAATAATCAGATCCGGAAGTTCATCCCACTGTCCACAGGACTTATACAAAAATTAATTAAAAAATCAACCATTATTGCAAGCATGCAGTTGTGTAGTTTCACTTCATAGACATGGACAGTGTTCTTAAAATTTTAGACCTCCTTTCACATGTTCTTGACATTTTTAGCCTTTCTTTTTATAAATAAAAAAATATCCATTTAAAAAATACAGTAGCCCTGCGGTTGTTGCCTGGTTTTCGTTTGACAAATTCACTTCATAGAATAAAATCTGATATATAATTTTTACTTTAAAAACAGAAATATTGGTTATGGAACTCAGAATTCCATTTCACGGATAGGAGCGCTTATTGCACCGCAATTTGTTTTGCTGGTAAGTACTTATAGCCAATCATGGAAATTGTTCGATATAGTCAGACATGTGTGATGCACTTAGAATTTAAATACACTCAAAACTATTGTTCTTGGTTTCTTCATTTTTTTATTTCCAGAACAAAGAGACTCCAGGGGTTATGTATATCATCTGTTTTGTTGTGTCCCTAATCTCAGCTGTCACGTGCCTTTTGCTGAAGGAAACCAAAGACAAAACGATTGGGGACAATTTGGAGATTTCAGTGAAGCAGAGGTCTGGGAGACGTGTGTAGATTGACGGTAGTGTGCCAGTAGACGTCAGGGCTTCCCAGTATGATCAGGATCCTATGATACTATGCAATATGTCGAAAACAATTATATTGTTTTATACGATATTATATTTATACTTTAATTAGTTTAACATAAAGAAGTTAGCATAGTAGAATAAATTCAATTCAGCCATATTTAAAAAAAATGTTTTCATTGTTTTCATATCCCTCAGATAGAGAAAATCCGCTTGCTCGTTGCCCTTATAATATATTTAACCATTTCGTCACAGGCATTTCACCAAACTTTGCAGATATTTAGGACAAAGTCTGAAGATTTGCATATTGTCAGGAAATTCCAAATCCATTATCTTTTTCGGGGGGGGGGGGGGGGATTTTGTCATGAACATAGAAATGAACAGTTTGTCAGCGTAATATTTCTTAAACCGCTGCGTGGGATACGTGTAACTGAGCTTGCTCACTTTTCAATTCATTTTATTTATGAAAAAAATTGAAGATAACGAACAGTGTTCGATCTCAATACAAATACTTGAACAGGCACAAACACGAGCTCACGAAAACGTTAGATGTGGGATCAGTTGCCTAGTATAGAGTAATCATCCCGATCACATCACATTGTAATCCTTATATTTTTTATCAGAAAGTTCTAACATGCTATAGTCCAACTAATCAAAGACATAAATGCCAGGTGCATTTTTGATAAGTTCAGATGACCAAAACTTAAAAAGATGTTTTGATTTGTTTTATTACTTTATATAAAGATTGGACTTTTCTGTAAATTAAACAATTTAAATCAATTGTGTTTTATAGATATCAACAATTTAAAACAATATGCCATTTATTTACCGACTCCACATTTAAATAAGGTGAGGATATTTATGTTCAGAATCCGTGAAAATTTTAATTTGAACGTAAAGTAGAGGTACTGTGAGCAATTAGTTCACTAAATGATACCCAACCCCCAACCCCCCGCCTCCCATATGAATATAATGGGAGTGTCCGTGTTTTGCTATGGGAAACCCAACATATGTGTAAAATCAAAAATAAAATAGGAGGTGCACAATACATGGCATTATGTAAGAAAGATTATCTGAAAGTCTCATCAAATTTCATTCAGTGGTATAAGAGGAGTTGAGGATAAGAGATGGTTACCCCAAAGCATAACAGACGGACGGACATCCCGATTACTATATGTACAAAGTACCCTCCCGCTTTTCAAGCGGGGGTATAATAACAATATATCAATATATGATGTATACTTGTATTATCATTTTTAGCTCAGACACACCATATGTAGCTTTTAAGATTGAAAACAAAGACATAAAATTGGTATGAGGCACATCAGTCAAAATACGACCAAGTGATATGGTACAAAAGCTCACACAAGGCTACGCTATTCATGAACTGTGACAAATAGTACAATTTTCTGTTATCCTTGAACTTTCAGTAAGGCGTGTTTTTTTCGACGTTACATATTTTAAAATTAACGTCTGAAATTTACATAGCTTTCATTCACTGTTGAAAAATACATATGAAAGAAATCAGAGCGAATGTCAACGAGCAAATATCCAATAACAGCGTCTCATATGGCAAAGAGGTGGTGCTTAAGTCGTCTCATCGTTGTCAACAACAATTTAAAGTTCCTGGTGTTATTAATTTCTCAATCAATGACAATCTATTCGCCATTTAAGAGACGCAAATTCCGTAGCGCCGAGAATACCACGCCTTACTGAAAGTCCAAGGATGACAGAGAATTGTACTACCCTTTATGCCCCCTGTGCATTTTCTTGTCATCTCACCGGAGATGATGTATGTAGTGACGTGCTGCAGACAGATTGGTCAGTATCTCCGAGTTAGTTATCAAGGTTTAAGGTTTATTCTAGTATTGTATGGTAGGATTTCCTATATAGCCAGCCCTCTCCGGAACCTGTTCTCTAGAGTAGAATTTCTCCCGAGGGGAACTATCACCCCAGAGCTAAATACCCCCTCTTTCTTTCGCAGAGTAGGAATTACCCTTTTTATCAAAGTTGGTCATACAGATAATATTAAAAATATGCACAATTTTGCATGAAAATTATCAAAAGTTTTTAGAATGTCAAAAACGATGAAACTAGGATATCGATAGTTTCGCAAAAAACATGTCGCAAATTTTATGGTCGATTTACACTTGTCAGCAAATAACATCTGTCGTAAAATCGAAGGTTGACGTTTTTTTTCATAAATTTATTGTTAGGCAACTACGTGTATTTTCACACTGAATTGTCTACGGATATTTCCGTTTACCAGATCATGACTAGATCGAGTTCACGGCGGCTGTTTTTAGTCCCGTGTTAGCCCAGTCTTTCCTTATTTATTTTGTTTCAACGGATTGTTGATCTTGATGTTACTGCTCGTTATCTTTATATGGCATCTGAAAACATTTCAAGTTATGTTCGAATGTCCTTCTATAAAATTTTCTGTAGAACTTCTTAACCTCAGCTTTGTGATCCATTGTTCTCTAGATTTCTTTTTGCCGTCTCTTTCCATAATTCTATTACATTCACAGTGGTTATTTCTTTTTCAAAAATAAATTCTTTGACAAGACATCAAACTTGGGAGGAGACGGGGTAGAGCTTACTTGAAGAACACAAGGGAGAACAGAAAAGTCTATCGAGGCTAGAAAGCCAAAACAGTACAGACGGCAATGGATGAGAAAATGAGGTCAAAGAATTCCTGTTACAGCACAATGATAAAAAAGACAAAAAGAATACCATCCAACGATATCTATTATACCTTCCAAAGTTCAAATTTCTTATAAATTTCGAACTAACAAAAGAATGGTAGCTATTTTTTTTTTTTTTTTTTTTTAGAGATATACATGTACTAAGGCCACCAAAATAACATAGTGATATGAGCAAGACTAGGAAAAGCATTGCCATATACGGTAGTTAGTGTCGGAAGTCTGTTAATAATTCTGCCACAGATAGGTTTATAAGCCTATTTACAGGTTAACTTGTCTTGTTAAACGGACAACTGCATAGATCTACATGTATCTCGCCTTTTGTTCGATCTATTCAAAATACTTCGATGAGGAAACAGTTTAAGACCACTTCAACCTTAATGGTCACGGATAATTGGACATGACTGTACTCATTTTATGACCTGGAGGGACTCCAAGGGAGATAATAAATCCTGTTGTTCCAAGGAGGTAAGAAAGGAGCGGGAAACTTGCTCGAATTCAAAGGCCAAGTCTTGCTAGTCTCTGGAGTTCCTCGTTATCCAGGGACAGCTGTATGGCTGCGTCATGTTTATTTTTAGGAATAAAAAGAAAAAAGAGGACCATGTGCAACGCACGCCTAAGTAACTTTGTCCAAGATGATCACCAGACTTCTCCCCCTTGTAATACCTATTAAGGCTCCGCCCTACCCCCGGGAGTCAGGATTTGTATAAATTAGAATCTACACTATTTCAGAATGCTTCCACATAAGTGTCAGCTTTCCTGGCCAAGTGGGTCTTGAGAAGGAGATTTTTTAAGATTTTTCCTATATATATTTTTAATGTATTAAAAGCTTGGATATCCGACCCCGGGAGTCATGATTTGAACAATTTAAAATCTTCACTACTCCAGAATGCTTCCAACTGTCCTCTACAAAAATTTGAATTTTTCAATTAAAATTTGTATATGACAATTATTTTTTTTTATATTGTCATATACAAATTTTAATTGAAAAATTCAAATTTTTGTAGAGGACACAACAACTGAGTGTCAGCTTTCCTGGCCCAGTGGTTCTTTAGAAGATTTTTTTCTATAGATTTCAATGCAAGCCCAGCTAAAAAGAAAACTACAACATATAAAACTGAGAGTTTTTTGACCCAGTCTTTGTGAAAGTTTTTCAACTGTCCAATGTATTGCATGCAGCATCCTAAACTGAAGTTGTCCTCTCACTCCTCTGGGTGTCTTAGGTTCTTCTGTACATCAAAGAGACTTATTTTTGGGTGATTATGATAAAAAAACGTTAACCTTTACTTAAAGTAGGAAACTGGTGATTAAGGTTTTTAGAGTACAGCCAACTAGGCCCTTTTGTACACTGTACAATGGATTTCAATATACTGGTATAACCGTCTTAATCCCAATCTAGAGTCTGACTCCTAGGGTACATGAATTTTACAATATTATTATAAATGGATAGCTGATCCTTGAAATTTTCAAAATGGTAATGATTTTTTTATTTATGAATAGGTCTCTTACTTGGGTCAACACCACTGGATTGTGAATTTCACAATATTTTTAAGATGGCCAAAGGCTTATTATACTCTTGCCAAAAGATGGCCCTCTTTATGTTCAGAAGTCAAGAAAAAGATTTTCTAACATAGAAAACCCATAATCATGCCAAAGTCTAACTGCTTGATGTCCACATGTAATGAACATTTTAGATTACATTAGTTTTTTATAGTTTTAGACACATCCCTCTGGACCCAGTAATCAGACTCCATGAAATTCCTATTTTATATCTCCCTTCACCATTCAAAGCTAAAAAAATCCTTGTTGATTTACTTTATCAAAAGCAATAATAAATAGCATATCACTCAAAAGTATTTTTTAAAATTTTATTTCCAAAATTTTAGCTGTAATGCCATGAAATTAAATTATGCAAGAAGTTGAACAATTCTGTCAATTTAAATCTTGTATTCATCAAATTTTGCAACAGTTTACTTTTATAAAAAATTTCGTTAGATGGTATGCTAAAATACTTGTATTCGCACTGACATCCATTATTTGTTCATCTTCTACCAAATATCCATTCATTCAAGCCCAATGATGTCTACCCAATCAGATTAAGGACAGAACATTTTCAAAAGAGCATTCAAGAAAGGGTTGACATTTTTCCTCTGAATACTTTCCTGTTGTTTGTAACAGATATTTTGATTGGCTAGAATCATTGGGGAATCAAAGATGGAATTATGATTGTCTTGAATGATATTTATATATCTACAGGATGTGATAAATGCATTTACATTAATGAATTTACAAAAACATCACAGCTTCCATTCATATCTTCATCTGAGCAGAAAGAAAAAAAGAGGTTCCTGAAAGGATATTGAGTATTACATCATCACTATTTATAGTTAGTGAAGGCAAAGCACTAGAAATAGCAACAGACAGAAAAATCATTTATAATTGCTATACCTAAAACATTTTTAT